TATATATATATATTTTATGAAATTCTGGCAATAATAGTTTATGCAACTTTCTAACTAAATGCGTCTTTTCTAATAGCAATATTGAAGAACGCTAAGCTTAAAAAATTTAGTCTTTCAAAAGTAACTCACAAAATTATTTATCGTTCATAATAAATAGATAATGAGGAGTTGATCTTCATCCCTCTTTCATAGTTCATCCCATGAAGAGCCAACGCCCTTTTCTAGTTATCGTGGGTCAATGAATAAATCTAGGCATTTCTTGGAAAATAAAGGGAGGAGGACATTAAATATGAAGACCATCTATTGAATGTGTTTTATTGAAAAATGTCCAGTTTCAGGTGAAAAAGAACTAGTGCTTAAATTATGAATAAATTAAAATGCTATACAATTAGGTTGGACCGAAAGAAATGTCATATTTTTAAGTGAATATATTAAACTGCATATCTTTTATCAAAAGTTGCTTATTTATTTAAAATATACTCCATTTACTTCAATACAGTTTTCAAACGAGATTTTAATGCATTAATGCCTGTTGTAACGAAGTGGTGATCTTTAGAATGAATAAACTCTCTTTTTGACTGTCCTCATTTTCATACTCTTTAGCCCATAAAAACTGTTCTAAATGTTTAAAAAATGAATAAGTTTATTTAGCAAATGAGCTTGATCACCGTATTTTTCACAAATTGACAGAACATTCAGAAATGTTTTTACGGGCTGAACTGTGGATCTGTGTGTGAACAGTCAGAAAAATTCCATATCAGATTTTATTTATTCTAATGATCGTAATTTCTAAAAGATCTATGCATTAAAATCTCGTTGGGCAAAGTGTATTGAAGCAAATGGAGCCTATTTGGATTAAATAAACAACTCTTGAAAAAAATATGCAGTTTTATTAGATTCACTCAAAAAATTCAATATTTCATACTCTTCAATCTAATAATATGAAGAATTGAACTTAAATTAATTTTATAAATGAAGGAAAGGTAAATTTTGTTTTATGGAAAATATATTTTTGACAGGAGTAATTTTTAAAAACTTTTATAACTAAATATATAGGGTGGCACACAACGCCAACCTTATTTTTATAACTCTTGTAAAATGTCGAAAAAAGTATACTTACTCTGAATCACAAAGCAATATTAAAGAGAGGAAAAAAGTCACCGATATCTAGTGAATAAAGATTAAGGAAGAAGGGATTAAAAATATCAAACTTTGTTGTATTGCCAGGCTTTTATTAATCACCTCCTTACATTCAACTCTTCTCAGTTTCCTGAGACAATCAAGCAAATTTTGATGAGTTTAATGGCACCTCCATCTTAACTCATTCAAGAATGATTTGTCAGATTTCGATAGCGTTTTTATTATTATTGCTCTTTGCTAATTTCTATACCAATGTTTGATAATTACTATACCAATATTATCCCCAATTTGATATACCTAATACGTATGCTTCCTTATCCTAATTTTTAACAAAAGGATTCTAAAAATATATGTTAAGAGGTGTAATGACGAAACATCAAGTAATTTTGCATTTAACAGACTCTAAACCTCACTTAGTTTATGAAAATAAATAAATTAATTAATTATTTTCCATAAAAAACTGAAAAATACGATGACAATATCAGTAATATTATTTGAAATGAAGCCAAAATTTTAAAAACTTAGTAAATTTCCTAAATTCTCAATTTTTAAAAATATTTTTTGAATAATACTTCCATCTTTATACATTGTATAGTGCTTAAAAAATCTAAATTGGTAGCGCTTCGAGAACTTGTCAATGCAGAGCTGTGACTGTTTATTTAGACAATTTGTCGAACAGATTTTAAAATAAATGTTTTAAAAACTACATCTAAAGAAAAAAGCAATGGTGGAGAACTTCAAAAATTATACTGTCTTCAAAAATATACTCATTAAATTAAAATGATCTTAAATTTCATGCCAGTTAATAAAATATTTTTTGTTGTTTTTCTAGGTTACTTTAAAACTCTGATATGGACACCGGCCGAGATAAAACATCCATCAAAGGGTCGCAGACCAATGTAGCAGAGTCAACCCAACCTTTATTGGAGACTCTGAGTTCAGGTGGTGATGGGACCAAAGGTACACCCGAGAAGGAGAGAATCGAAATTGAATCTACTATAAGTATACAGAGAGGATCAAGCAACAAGGATATCAATGATCAGGAGCCCACTGAAGAGGGTAGACGACGATTGCGACCACTTACATGCATTGACAGCTTTACCATGAGCATGAACCTCTTGGATCGAGATTCTACTCATATAAATGACTACATCAATGTAATTCTTTAAAACTAGTCTTTTTATGTTCAATATAACGTTTCATTCAATGTACTTATAGGTAAGATCACCGAACAAAAAATTAGTCACCCCTAGATAGACCACGAGAAACATGATAAAGATCTGGAGGTAGGTTTGTGATGTTCTGGAGTTGTTTATCTTATTATGGGTTGAGTCCGCTCTCTGAGGTGACTACTGACATGAACTAGCTTGTTTATTTTAAAAATTGCATAATCAGGCGTTGCTTTTCAGTCAATATCTTCATGATGAGTATATTGTTTGATTTATTAAGATAGTAACAGAAAGTTCATTGGGTTGAAAGAATATATGATAGGTCACGCATCCTACTACAGCTCGATTAGCCTAAAAAAAAACACTTGACTTGGAACCAAAATCTTTCAAATATGTTAGAGCAGTGGGTAAAATGCAAAAATTAGCATTAGTTACTAATTTATTTAGTGTTTCTGTATCATCAAATTTTTTGTGAGTGGCTTTAAGGGTACCAGCAAAACCTAGTGAATTATCTTACTAACAGATAGTTATCAGGTCCTGGGGTGGAATATCCAAACGATGTTTCTCATTATTTTTTTAGGGGGTACTAATGCTTTGTTAGGTGAGCTTACATTATCCATAAGTCCTATTGTCGCCTGCATGTAGTACATTTCTCTGTACACAAATAACCACTATACTTCAGCAACATCGACTTTTTCGCGCATGCGGTTTTGAGTTATTTGCAGAACATGGTCACCACACTTTGTGAAAAATATCACAAAATCTTTCTTTCGCAATAGATTACAAATTTGTAAGATTTAGAATTGCTTAAGTCAAAAGATTTAGAGAATGCATTGATTTGGATGGACGTCTAATAGCATTTATTATTGAATCTTCTATAAGTTGGTATGAACTTTTATTATTTTATGAGAAAAGGAAGATAAGATAGATAAAAAGCTAATAGCTTTATCTGAACATACCCTCTTATTTTTTATTTTGTCTTCGTCATTAACAACCAATCCACTTCGGATTTGTGGTAATATAGCATTCTACCCTGCAGTTTTAAAATTTACTGAAAAGAATAAAAATTTCTGGGTGAGTATTGGGACAAACTCGCCTTTGCTCAGGAAACATTTTGATTAAAATCAACTAGTATTTCAACTAGTACGACAAATTCTAATTTTTTTAATAGTAATTGATACAAAATAAAACTGCTTAAGTCTCCACTGTAAATGCGAAATTTAAGAATTGTTTTGGTTTGAATAGACATCGAACAGCACTTATTATTGAATCATATTACACTGGTTATCATAAATTAAGGAAAATTCACAAAAATCGCGATAACTCAAGAAATTACACATGGAATTTTATGAAACTTACCCACAATATACAACACATAGTAAGGTATTAAACAACATAAAAAGAAATTATCAGACATTAATAGTAGTATAGAAATTAGCACATGTATAAAATAAACAAATTGGAAGTATCGGTTTGCAATAGAAAAAGTACCTTTAATATGGAATATGATTGNCCTATTGGATTAAGGTCAGGTGAATTTGGGGGCCAACGCATGACTTAAAAGTCACTGAAATGTTCCTCAACGATTCGACCCTTATGACATGGTGCATTATTCTGTTGGTAAACACCATCCCCCGCAGGAAAAACTGTTGCCATAAATGGGTGAACCTGGTCTGCAACTATGTTAAATTAGCTTACAGACGCCAGGGATTGTTCTATGAGGATCATGGGTCCTAATGTGCCCCATGAAAGCATTGTTCCTGGGTGAGAAACCATGAAAACCTGGGCGAGCCCATTGTATAGATGGAGGGTGGTCGTAATGTAATGGCTCTTCGGTGTACTTATAGGTAAGATCACCGAACAAAATATTATTCACCCCTAGATAGACCACGAGAAACATGATTAATGTCGGGAGCTAGGTTTGTGATGTTCTGGAATTGTTTTTCTTATTATGGGTTGAGTCCTCTCCCTGAGGTGACTACTGACATGAACTAGCTTGTTTATTTTAACAATTGCATAATCAGGCGTTGCTCTTCAGTCAACATCTTCATGATGAGTATGTTGTTTGATTTATTAAGATAGTAACAGAAAGTTCATTGGGTTGAAAGAATATATGATAGGTCACACATCCTACTACATCTCGATTAGCCTAGAAAAAGAAAAAAAACCAGTTGACTTGGAACCAAAATCTTTTAAATATGTTAGAAAAGTGGGTAAAAGACCAAAATTAGTATTAGTTTGTAATTTATTTAGTGGTTCTGTATCATCAAATTTTTTGTGAGTGGCTTTACAGAAAAACCTAGTAAATTATCTTGCTAACAGAATTTAGATAGTTATCAGGTCCTGAGGTGGACTATCCAAACGATGTTTCTCATTACTTTTTCAAGGAGATACTAATGCTTTGTTAGGTGAGCTTACATTATCCATAAGTCCAATTATCGCCGTAGTATCAGTAGTACATTTCTCTGTACACAAATAACCACTATACTTCAGCAGCATCATCGACTTTTTCGCGCATGCTGTGTTGAGTTATTTGCAGAAAATGGTCACAGTTTCCCCTCACTTTGTAAAAATATCACAAAATCTTTCTTTCGCAATAGATTACAAATTTGTAAGATTTAGAATTATTTAAGTTAAAAAATTTAGGGAATGCATTGATTTGGATGGACGTCTAACAGCATTTATTATTGAATTTCTATAAGTGAGAATGAACTTTTATTATTTTCTGACAAAAGGAAGAGAAGATAGAAAAAAAGCTAATAGCTTCATAGGAACATACCCTCTTATTTTTATCTTCGTCATTAACAATCAATCCACTTCCCATTTGTGGTAATATCAGCATTCTGTCCTGAAGTTTTAAAATTTACTGAAAAGAATGGAAATTTCTGGGTGAGCATTGGGACAAAATCGCCTTTGCTCAGGAAACATCTTGAGTAAAATCAACTAGTATATATGTTACAAGGAGTCAAAATAACTTAAAGCTCCCGTGGTTAGCCGGGAGACAAGGGGATAAGATGATTGTTTTATCAGTGGAGATCATTTTCATTAGTATAGGGGTCGCTGCGATTCAGGAACAATAATCAGATTTTCAACACTTCTATTCCTCTCAGGATTATACAATTTGTGTGCTCGTTCCAATGGAGTTATAATATTTTTAAAAATTTTTATATGTTCAAGTACAAAAAATATAATCATTCTCTTAATTTCAATAAAAATCTTTCAACCGACAAATTCTAATTTTTTCAATAGTAATTGATACAAAATAAAACTGTTTAAGTCTCGACTGTAAATGCAAAATAATTTAAAGATTGTTTTATTGGTTTGGATAGACATCGACCAATATTTATTATTGAATCATATTAGTTGGAATGAACATTTAAGCCTTGACTGTAAATATGCTTCTGAGAAAAAAAGTCACAATTTTAAAAATAAAATCCCAAAAAGTAAATCTTTCCAACAATTTCAAAGCAAAAATTTAAACTATTTTTCCTTAATTCAAAAACAATCAATTTTTAATTGCAAAAAATTTTATAGGTGGTGTTCGAAGAAATATTGGCTGAACCTCGTGCAAACCAAAGCTTCGACCAAGTATGGAGGTTTGCTTATGTTCTGTTTGCTGGGACCAAATTCTGGGTGTACCGAGTACTAGCAGCAGTATTTGCTTTACCATGCGGATTACTTTGGGGATTAATTTTCTCTTTTACGTGTATTGCCAGCGTATGGATCATATCTCCTGCCATGAAACTTGTTGACGTCCTCCTTCATGTCGTTAGAAGGGTATTGTTAAACTTTAGATCTATTTGCAATGAAATATTTTTGTGCTTGTTGAAATGGCCAACAGTTGACTATTTGTTAATACTTATTTAGTTAAGATTTACTTTTTGATCTTCAGTACTTTTTTTTAAAAACTTATAGTGGAAGCGTTGAAAAAAAAATGTCATGATTTGAATAAATCATAAACATAAGTAACAAAAACTGGAATGGGAAACTGGGCATTTAAAGATTACACTGGGGGATATTTTATTTATGTTGCATGAGATTTTTAAAAAGATATTCGATAATTTCATATCACTTCATTTAAAATTTGCAATCAGTTTTTCTCTAAAAGATCTAGTTTGTTTTTTTAATGACATTTTTAGTCGATATGTTTAAAAGCACTATTTATTACAGGTGGTTGCACAAATGTTGCGACCACCGTCTAGGGGAGTTAAGGCACATCATCAGAATTAAAACTGCATAGAACCTCATGTCCGGAAATGTCGCGTCTGAATTGGGTAATATCAAACATATGCATAAATGCAACGAAAAATTTGTTCTCTAATGTTATTCATTTAAGCAAAAATAAAAAAATATCAAACAATACACCTCTTACAATGAATGGCTTATTTTTGATTATAAAAAAATCAATTAGGATAATTTATATCAGGTATGAAATTTATGTGTTTAAAATATGTAAGAACGCTGAAACATTTTGTGTGTATAAGTCTTACAGATACCTGAAAGAAAGCATTGTCAGTATAAGATACCTTAAAAAAACTCATTTCGTTATTCACAAAGGTAGTAATTATTATTTCAAAAATGTTCGGACATTGATTTCCCATTGTGAATTAACTTCATATTTGATGGACTGTAAATTGAAGTTTTCTCATTGTCACTTTTTTTATAGCAGATGAGTGATACATTAAACCAAAAATTATTTCGATGCTTCAAAGCATGCTGTGATAAAAGCAAATGCTTACTATTTCGAATATAGTAAGCATTTGCTTTTAACACTATTTTCATCACATAGTCTTAGGATATGACTGATACAATATAGATTCTAATTATTACCGAATTATCACCAATGAAAAAAATATTTATACAAATACTGTTTTCAACTTGCCTTGCTGATTCAGCCTAATTGAATAAATCCTGCAAATATTTAAGTGGCTAGATTTTTAAGCGATCGAAATAAGGAAATGAGAACAGCGACCCAGGCAAATATGCCCATACGCCAATTATTTGATGCCTCGTCGTCGACTTGAAATCCAGCTCAGTCCAAGGACCAAGCAATACTCGGACACCGGGCAGGCTCCGAGTCACGCAAGAATTAGAGTACCATAGTTGCGATCGAGAGCAAAGGAGGTATTTAACAAAACACACAAAAGGTATTAAATCAAAGTAATACAAAACACACAAAAGGTATTAAATCAAAGTAATACAAAATACACAAAAGGTGTTAAATCAAAGCGATCGAAATAAGGCAATCTTCGTAAGTTGTTTAATGGGCGTTGCTCTCATGAAATAAAATTGCACAACATAGACTCCAATATTATGTACCTATATAGCAGTAATATTGTAAAAAAATTGAATTGGAAATGGAGAATTAACTGAATAGTTAAATAAGTGAAAAATTCCTAGATTTTTCAAAGGACGAAATTTGAAATTTGTTTTACTATCTCAAGCTCGATTTTCACAAAAAAATTGACATAATTGTTTCGCTCTCGAAAAATTTGGTTTACTTTTTTGGTTACCATGGCAATGGCCCTCTTCCCCTACCCTTCTTTCCGTAATGAAACTACAATTTGTTTGATGCACGACTAGATTAGGGCAAATTCTGGCGGAAATTTGGAGTAGAAAAATTAGAGAAAAAAATACTTACGGAATTTTAAGGTTAGGAAGGATGTTCTTTTGTTATTAAATTCCTTAAGAGCCTATTTCATCTCATTGATGTTTAAATTTTTTTTCTGCATGGTAAAGAATTTATTTAAATTTTAAATAAACAAAATATTTTGTAATATTATTGTTTTGCTCATAAAATATTGAATATTGATGATTTCTTGAAAAAAATTCTTGATTCAGTTTTTGAAATCCAATCTGACCAATCTGTCTGGTGAAAACATTTCTAGTAAAAAAAATGTTATAATTCTGGAAATAAAACCAAAATATGCGATATCTGAACCATTCATTAGGCAGTTTTTCCAACCATGGTACTGGTTTACTAGAAATTTTGGTTTTCAAGTTTTTAGATTTAATTACCAATTTAATTATTAATTAGTAACAAAAAACAAACCTGAAAAGTAAATGTAGCCAAGCAAATAGTTTTTCGGCAGTGCTCTAAGGTACCACGATCAAATTACCAAATTTTATCCCACTTACCAAATTTTAACACATATTATTTAACTACATATTATTCTTAATTTTACCGAAAAAATTACCAAATGTCTTCGGTAAAATTTACAGAGCCTTTTGGGCGTGAGCTAGAAACGAGGTAAATTTTACTATATACTGGTGGTTTTGATCATACTATTTATTAGTGTATTAAATATTTAAAGTATTCACAGTAAAATATTTTGTAAATATGTAAACAATAACTTAAGCTCAGTATTAATATGCATATTTTAGGTTTGGGGAGGCACTGTTCGAGCTGTTTTGGATCCTGTGTTCCAATCTGCAAGCATCTTGATAACTGCAAAAAGAGAAACTGTGCAGCCAAACTCTCAAGAAACAGTTTAATTTAAAAGTTTTAAATGATTTTTAAGTTTTATCCGCTATGTTGAGTCGATATACACACTAAAATTGAATGTGCAATGTGATTTTATTTTCGTTACGTAGCAAGTGAAATAAGCCACATGAATCTTTTCTTTTTTTAAATACATTTATGTAACTCGCTATTACTAAGCTTAGTTGAACGGCGGTTTCTATTTCACAAAGTATCGTAAATGTTTCAGAGATGTTTTTTGTGACTTTAAAGATCGTTGCACCAAAGAATTTGTTTTAAAAGCATGTACAGCTTTTCAATTGATATTTATATAAAAATCTTTACTGCCATTTTGAAAATTATTTTGAAGTTGGCGTATTGTGACATTTTCACTGCGCAACTTTTTATAAAAGCAGTTGTAAAAATATCTATTCTAATTTATTGTATTGTAAAAATGTCAACATTGTGTGCTCATTTGCAAAATGTAATAGTTATTTGATTTTGTATGGAAAAGATTTCAATAAGAGGGAATACGTTTAGCTGAATAGTAAGAAAGAATGCATTAAAGAAGTATTCATTAAAAAGGAATATTGTTGTGAAAAAATCATATCTTAATATATATTTAAAAGAATATAAAAAAAATTTCTTTAAATTTTATCATCATTGAAAGTTTTGCGAAGCGCACAATTAAATTAATTATCAAAATGAGTCGTAAGACTATAAAATTTTGTATCCAAAAATTGCATTTAAAATTCTGAATGTTATTATCATTAAAACTTTCTACCGTCCTAAGTGTTTGTTTTTGTTTTAATTCATAGAACCGACATTAATTGTAGCTAGCATAATTACAATATGCGAGAAATCATACTTTAAGAGGATAAAAAAATGTGCGACAAAATGGTACGTTTTAAACGATGAAAGTTCTCGTATATTTTCGGAAACTTCTTTTATATAAACTAATAAATGTTTGCATTTCTCATTTTATATTTTTTTGAACAATAGCAAGAATGAGATTTATTCTTTTGCTCATTATCAGAAAAAAAATCATCATAAATTTTTTGTTGGCAGTATTATATCGTTTCCTGACGTATTAAAATGATTAAATAAAACTAGAAGTATTACTTTTTATAATTAAAATATATTTTAATGTCTTTTTAATGGAATAACGTATTATCTTATATTTTGTTAAGCGATATCGTATTGATTTTTATTTAAATTATTATTACATTTTATGATTATATTACATATTTTTTCCTAAAACTGTAAGTACTTTAATAATAGTTTTTCTTATTCTTATAAACTTTTAAGGTTTAGAAATGCCGTTTTTTTGTAAAAGTAATATTTTTAATAAGAGATATGTTTAGGGAATAGCTATAATAAAAGAAAATTTGTAAATTTTTTTCTGTTTTCTTAATTTCAAATACAAAAATATATTAAGAAAAGAAAATTAATGTTTTTTATTGAAATAATTTTATTAAAAAATTAGCATGTAATCTAAGTCTAAATTTGTAAGCACATGGTGCAGAGGTGTACAAATCAAGTTTCAATTAAATTTATATGAAAATATTAAAAATTTATTGATACAATATTTATTACTACAGTGAACTTTTATTTATTCAAATTTGAATTTACAGTATAAAAACTCTCAGTTCTGGAATAATTAATATTCAGGTGAAGAAAAGGTCCAAATCTTAAACCATAGCGTGATGCTCTTATTATTGTTGTTGCCATTTAGTGTGTTTCTCATACATTGCATTGAGGTCGTGCCTAGCTTCTATTGCATCGACGATATTCTTTAAAAGAGTCTTCGTTGGAAATAAACTAGTCAAGCAACAACGAAGTTGCATGAAAATGTTTTAGTGTTTTGTACATCATATTCTTTTATAAAAGATTTTATTAAAATTTACATAAATATTTATCAAAGTTTTTAACTAACTTGAATACTTTATTGATCCCATAATTACAGCAATTTTTATCTCATTAAAATATCTGCACTTCTCTACACTTTCAACACTTTTCTATTTCCTATGCTTATGTATGTACGCGTGTCCATATAGACAATTAATAAGTTAAATTCTAATTTTAGCTGGAATGCGAAATTATTTACATGAATACAAATTATTTATTAATTAATTCATCCTATAAATACGTTTTTATTCAGCTTTTGTTGATGTGTTTAGCTACTAAAAGTTGTGACTTCAAAATAAAGTTTATGTATGTTATTTCAAAAATAACCTCAGCAATAAGAAAAAATAATAAATAAATTATCGAGCCATATTAAAGATCAATTAACTGATAAATTGTCTAGTTTTGTCCTTGATAAGCTTTAATTCGCTTCAAAATTTAATTCTGCCAATTGGAATTATTGTTTTCCTGATGTATATGGATAAATATGTAAATTTGATTACACAACATGAGTGAAAATTTAGTCTATGAATATTATTTGATTTGTATAAAAGTTTGCAACAAATGCAAAAAAGTATTACATGTTTGTATTGTCAATAGAACGCTCTTATATCATTTAGTGTAATTAATATTTTATGATATTAAGAGGATTAAAAACTTGGTGGCAATGATAGTAAAAGACAAAAAATAACTTTAAAATTATGAGTATGTTATAAAAAAATAGTTAAAATAGCATGTAATTTCCGATGCTTCACTTGAGTTGCATGTTTTGTACAAAACTAAAAGAAAAAAATGGCGACGAACATTTTGAGATGGAGTTACTTTGCCAACAGATGGCGCCACTGTTGTATTTATATTTATTTTAACTTTACTTGTTCATCGCTGGATTCAATTTAATTCATTTTATCCTGCTTATTTGTAATGTTTTTTGTCGGCATTTTTCTGTGTTATACGGTGCACTAAAGATACGTTTAAGTATAGCATCGAATCTTGCATGTCATTTTAGCACTCACTGGTCACTTCCATGTTGTGTTCTATTATTTTTATTTTATGTATTTATTTATTTATTTTTTTGATTTTAAAGTTGGTTTTTGTTTTTTTACTTATGCCTTATGAGTGTTTAAAACAAATCAAAGGTAGATATTATTATACATTTTTTGTTTTTAAAAAATATCGGAAAAAGAAATCGTTTTTAAATTAAATTGTGTGTAAACGAATGCTCTCAATATGAGTGATGAGATTTATTCGGGAAAACTTTCTGTGTGAATAATATTTAAGACAAAAGGAAAAGCCATGACAGGATCAAAAACTTGTATTGTAAGTATCTGTGTTTTTAAATGTTGCATTAGTTTCCTTTGCATGCTGCTATTAGATTTGTGAACAGTTTGTGTTGTTTAGTGTCAAACAAAATGTTTCATTATAATGTCTGTGATTCTTTTTTCTTTTATAAAATTTAAACGAGAAAACTTTTAGTTTCTCAAAAGGCCGGTTTGCAATAAGTAAGTAGTGGTGGAATAAGTTTTTATTTAGAGTAGAATAGTTGTATGTGTAATTTTGTTTTTATTCGTAGCTATAATTTACTGTAATGCTTGTGAAATTTGAAGATCTCTTTTAAGGAATTACAAAAAACGCATCAAATACTGAAATAGTAATACTTACTTGCTCATTTTAAAGTCTTCATTGAGTCTTCATTGTATACGTAAAATACTTACAAATATTGTTGATTTATTTGTAATTTTATGTAATAGAATTTTTCTCAAAAAACTTTTTAAAAAATATACATTTGACATAATTTTATTGGAAAAAAAACAGGATTAAAAAATATTGTATTTTTTATATATTCAAGGATAGATTTTGTGGTTTATTAATTGTTATTATAAACAGAACCATTGTATGATTAATATTATTGATTCAAAAATTATACAAGATAATGTTGTACTTTTTCCCTCCAGAAATCGGAATTTGTTAAAATAGGACGAAATTAATTCATCAAAAAAGTATTCATGTAAATTTACTTCTAAAATCTTCAGAATCAGAAATTAATAAAAAGTCCTAATCTGAAATTAAAGAAAAATCTTTAACAAAGATAGATAAGGAGAGAGTCTATTCAAATTTGACTAAAAAAAGGCAACATCTAGAATTTATAAATAAAGGTTTCAACTGAAGTTTTTAATATCCTCATCAAAAATTAAGTTTTCATCTAAAATTAATTTTAAAACTTGAATATAATGTAACTCTATTAAGAAATAATTTGAAATTAATTATATTTCTTTAAATCTCTAGCTAATAATATGATTTTATAAAAAGTTTTCATAATTTTTTTTGTTTCTGTATTTGGAAATAAAAAGTTATAATCTAAAAAGATAGTCGCAAATAATTGTTGCAATAACTATTGATATATTTTGCAATAACTTTACTTGTCAAACTTCTTGCTTTTATCTATCGGTAGGATTACAAAAAGTAAATATCGTTTCAAGTAAATTTTTGTTTAAAAAGTAAATTTATTCGGGCGAAGTTTTAAAATTTGGAAAATTTTGTCAGACTATATTACATCACACTAGGTGAATAGAAAAAGGTCAGTAAATTGGTGATCTGTTAATACATGATTTTAAATTACTGACAATCTCAACTTTCTCAAATAAAATGAGCAAGAATGAGCGTTGTTATGATAATCTGCTAAATTGTAATTAATATTATTGAATATAAATAAAGCTTTAAAATGACGATTTCCTTAATATTGCATAGTCATGAAGTAAGAAAAATTCTCTTGGCTATATATATATTAATGAGAAAAAAAATACTATTGCAAAATTATTATATATTATTATGAGTAATATGAAATATATATATATTTCTCGCATGTTAGGTGATATACATGTTAATAGAAATTGGAAATGTTTAATTAGAGCGGTTAAAAACTGCTGTTTATAGAAAAATATATCTGAATTATAGTAAAAATGATTAATTTGTGATCCATTTAGATGCAAGTTGTATATAATCTGACTAACATTTATCTTTAAGAATCGCACACTACGAAATATGTTCAAAAAATTTTAAGCATATAATAATTAGAAAATGACTAGTCATTTCACATGGATTTAGAGATTGCGTCATATTTGTTAATGATAGGTATAATACTTATTTTTAATAATTTTTCTTGTCGTCATTTAAATTTTTTTAATTCCTACTAGAAGTCTTGTATGATTAAGTACCTACAGAAAAAATAGACATAAAAATTTGAAAATGTAGAGACAGGATTTCTTCTTAAATATATAATCTAGGCAAGAGAAAAATTAAAACAGTACTTTAATTTTCATGAGAAATAAAAACGAACTAAATAAAAGTTTAAATTTTCTTCATAAAGAAATCAAGTATATTTTATACCTCAAATCAAAACATGTGTTTTAATTTTTAACTATCAGTTGAATGTTTTTTTTTAAAAATAGACTCTTAGAAACATCTAAAGTATTAAAATTTTTGAAGTTCGTCGGCATTTAAACTCTAGTATCCCATCTTGGGTTACTTATTTTAAAAGTAATATCATTTTAAATTTTTGAAATTATATATGTATATCAGTTTTTAATATGAATTTTTACAAGCTCAATTCACGTTATACATATTGCTCAAAAGTGCTAATTATATGAAAAGTTCTGCGCAAAAAGAATTTTTATAAAGCAGTATTCTGAAATTTTACTCTGCAAACTTTCTATGAGTAAAAAAAGTACATTTTGTAAAAGTAAAGATTGAATGTAAACGGCGAACTTTAAACCCTTGCTGTAAAAATGCTTTTAATTACATTTTCAATATTGTTCTTTCATATATTATAATTAATACGTATTGCGTAGGTAATTTGTAAGTAATAATATTTTATTTATGAACATCAATATTTAAATTGGATGTTCTTTTGTAGCATGTGTGATTGTGACGTATTTTTTAGTATCATATTTTACATGAATATGTATACAAATTTTTCTATGTTATACTTACCGCTGCACATTCTCATATTTATCATGTATGTAATAAATGTTTTATGTTAATGCAATTGTATTCATTATTTCTCTATCATAATCCGTGCTATCTTTATTTGCTATTTTTTCATCATTTCTATAAAGGGTCATCCTTATACAACCTTCAAAAAAGGTCTAATTTTATTTTTTACAGTATCTGGGAAGACAGCTTAATTAAAGGAATGTTCTCAAATTTTGAAAGATTGACTCTGCCGATAACGTTTTTACAGGGCATTACCATGTAAAACTTTGAAATCGTGCTACTAATTTACTAA